CTCTCAGTTAATTGTTTTTTATAGTATAATGACCAACCTGCTTTTTTTAGATGAAGTTTTGCATTATGTTAGGAGGAAGGAGGGAGGTGCACTGGCCAAAGTAGTCTGCACAAAAGAGAAGGCCAAATAAATTTTTATGGAGTTGCACAATAGTGCAATAGGGGCTCACTGTGGCATTCATAAAACCTTGGAGGTTTTAAGGTTTTATTGGCCAGGCATGTCTGTGAACATTAAAAAAATCGGTGAGTGCAATTTCATGTGTTCGTACACTTCTACTTGTATAGTAGCCTACCAATTAAGTAAAGTTAGAAAATACTTTTTTCAGATAACGCATTGTGCAGCTTGCCAGCAAAAACAACGTTCTCTAAAGAACCAAACCCAATATACCCCAATTGAGGTAAGTTTTGTTTGTGTAATAGAAATTTGCAGTTTGTTGCAATGGACTTGAACATGTGAATGTTTTTCAGGTGGCAGGGCCATGGGAGATTGTGAGTATGGACTTGGTGGGAAAGCTCACACCAGCAAAAGATGGTTACCAGAACATTTGCGTTATGGTAGACTATTTTACCAAGTGGTGTGAGGCTTTCCCACTGAAGTCTAAAAGGGCAGAGGAGGTAACAGAGTGCATAATTAAACTTTTCTATTAATTCGGTGCCCCTAAAAGGCTACTAACAGATCAAGGCACTGAATTTGTAAACCAGGTTAGTATTAAGTCTTTTTTTTTCTATTTCAATCCTTGTGATTCTGTTGAAAGAGCTTTTTCTTTTTTCTTTTAATGAAATTCCTGCCCAACTAAAAATAAAACTTGTGTCTTGTATATACAGATCAATCTAGAGGTGTGCCAAACACTGGGCATCAGCAGGAGCTTATGTGCACCATACCACCCGCAAACGAATGGATTGGTAGAGAGGCTTAATGGCACAATTCAGAGGTTAGAAATAATATTTTTTTCAGTTGTAACACTTTTGGTAATTGATTAACAGGTCCCTAATGTTTATTTTCTTGTTTTCTTCTCATCACAGCCAAATTTTCACAGCCAAATGTTATTTGCGATTAATTCGATTAATTAATCAACACATCATGTAATTAATTAGATAAAAAATGTAATCGACTGACAGCCCTAGTAATTGTGTTGCCTAGCAATAAACATGAAACATATGTAAAATATATGTAATTTAATTGACTAAATTTATTAAATGAAAATTGTAATGGCATAATATGCAAAATTCAAGATTTAATATGAAATATTTTTCAAAGGGTAGAAGGTCTGCACTTTGTGCTATCCCTGTTATACAGTATTACCATAGACTGTATAAAAACATGGACGTAGTGTCCATGACGTCACCCGTTGGTTTCTGAAGAGCATTTAGGAAGCCCTAAAGTGGGCGGAGTTAGCCATTGCCATCTTAGCAGTGCATCACCTCGCATCACTCCTGGATAATCGAAAATGGGCAAAGAGGCGGGCCTGTTTGCTGAAACCACACCCACCTAGCTCGACGGTAGTGACAGCAGTGGCATTCCTGTCACTCAAGTGGCCACGCCCTTAATTATGCAGAACTTTAAGAGAGACCGGGAGGTTGCCGCTTGAGTATTACAGAGTAAACAGTAGGGATGTTAGTCCACGGTTCAATACATATGTTGTTTTTTTAACCACAGTTTTCAGTTCGGTTCGTTTCTGATAGCTTGGCACACCAGAGTGTTTTTTTTTTTGTTTTTTTTGTGGTTTGCAATTTAAAATTCTATTAAAAAAATCAGTACACTTTAATTAAAACTCCAGTACTCTTCTGTTCACTGTAGAAAAACATGGATTATCATATGTCTACTTCAAATTTCTTCTGAGAGAAGCATTATTTTTTTTGGATTGGCCATTATTTTGTACTATGAACACACCTAATATGTTTCATTCATACTGGACGCAGCTGAGATGCCTGGTTGCTGAAACCACACCCACCTAGCTCAACGGTAGTGACAGCAGTGGCATATCTGTCACTCAAGTGGCCACGCCCTTATTTATGCAGAACAATATAATTTAAACGGATGAGTTATAAAAATTAAAAAATTAAAAAATTACCCCCCTCACAGTTATCATGAAGGGCAACATTAGCTATATAGACCAAAACCACTTTTTGTACCATGCTGTAAACATTTTTTCTGCTGTAAAGTTGGGCATTTTAACATGGGAGGTCTATGGGACTGACTCCCTTTTGGAGCCAGTCAATGAATTTCAGTTTAAGTCACTTCTGTGTTGGTTTCAAGAGAGACCGGGAGGTTGCCGCTTGAGTATTACAGAGTAAACAGTAGGGATGTTAGTCCACGGTTCAATACATATGTTGTTTTTTTAACCACAGTTTTCAGTTCGGTTCGTTTCTGATAGCTTGGCACACCAGAGTGTTTTTTTTTTTGTTTTTTTTGTGGTTTGCAATTTAAAATTCTATTAAAAAAATCAGTACACTTTAATTAAAACTCCAGTACTCTTCTGTTCACTGTAGAAAAACATGGATTATCATATGTCTACTTCAAATTTCTTCTGAGAGAAGTATTATTTATATGGACTGGCCATTTTTAGCACTATAAACACATGTAATGTGTGTTTCATTCATACTGGAAGACAGAGGGCGGAAAAGAAGTAATAGAGCTCACGATGTCCCAGGAAATCCCTAATATGGATAAAAGCATCCAGCTATGGCTGTAGCTGAATTAAAAGATAGACATGAAGACAACACACTCAACTGTAACAATACAGTTTATCTGTGTTCTTCAAGCCTTTCCGCGTATTTTCATAATAATTATGCACATTTATAATCCATTGCTAATTGACATGGCCTTTATTCTGTAATAAAAAAAACACATCAGATCAAAAAAGGGAGTTATTTCAAACACTCGACTGATGTTGCAGAGTAAAACCAAGTTAAAATGTTATCTTTTGTTGGACAGCAGTTTTAGAAACACTTCTAATTACAAGTCATTACAAGGGAAGACATTCCCATACTTTCAATTATTCAATCATCAGGGACCCGATGTCGCATTTGAGTCTCGCGATCACAAACTTGCCAGTCGGATTTTTGTCAGAGGATGTAGGTTGACTAATACCTTTAAGTCTACTGCATACTGTTTGCATTTGATAAAGTGTAGTTTACTTAGTAATTTCCCATACAATAGGGGTGTGCCATATCATACCGTCCACGATAATACCGGTATAAATGTTTACATGATAAAAAAAAGTGTCATATCGTGATATCAATGATATAGCGACGCAATGACGTATGACGGATATACGTTCCCTAGCGCTCACAACAACACCACCACCACAACAAACCCAATAGGTATGTTCAACTTGAAGCAGCGCTGCACAGACTGATCGGTGTATGACATCAAAGTAGCGCGAGAGCAGTTCTAGAGCATATTCGAGCGCAAACTTTTACCTTAAAAAATAGGCAAGGCGCATATCTTTAGAAGCGGCGTGGAGAGAGGGGGAGGGGGGCCCGGCGATTTCAACCGACTGCCCGAGACCAGCATAAAAAGACAGCTTGCGTCACGAAAGCTTATCAATTGCACGTGTTTTAAGTCTTGCCAATTTAAACATTCAAAATAGTTTAAAGCATTCAAACATAAGACGCGGAAAAACTCAACAGAGTTTGCGTGCCGAGTTCGGTGCGCACACGGAGAGCCACACAAACACCAAACCGAGCTCTTCTTCTCTTCCTCCCATGCCTGAACGAACAAATACACCTCGCCAGTTTAAACATACAAGCACAAAAAGACATTAAAAGCTTAATTCAGCACCCGCGCGCTGTTCTGTGTGTACAGTGTGCATGCAGAGAGTCATGTCTACAGCCCTTAAAGGGATACTCCACCCCAAAATGAAAATGTTGTCATTAATCACTAACCCCCATGTTGTTCCAAACCCGTAAAAGCTTCGTTCGTCTTCGGAACACAATTTAAGATATTTTGGATGAAAACCGGGAGGCTTGTGACTGACCCATAGACTGTATGAGAGAAGTAAAATACACTGTCAAGTAGGGGTGTGTATCACCAGCAAAGTCACGATACGATACGTATCACGATACAGAGGCCACGGTACGATACATATCCCGATACAGGACTGCACTGAATTTCACCTCAGCAGAATTTACAAAAACAGCTGTTTATTAAACACTGCATACTATAGGGCCATTTCTAACTATTGGCAGAGCAGGCAGTTGACCTCTGCATTATGAAGGGCCTCCATAACTGTTCCACAGTACAATATAGGTAATGGCATATGTTTCATGTTTACATTGTGCACTCCCAACCAGGTACAATATTCTGATTGTTTGCATCTTGTTTTTAAGCCCATAAATAATAATGTACTTGTTCTAATAAGTTTATATTGTAATGTACTCATTCTAATATATTTTAAGAATCATTTACATTGTTGGTAGGTTATCATTGCACAAATTAACACACTCTCTACAATAAAAAAAAAACAATTAGAAGAGTAATAAACTAACGCGCTGTCTTCACTGTATCTAATGCACACACTCTCAAAGCTGATTTATACTAGAGGCGTCCACAAGTTCGCTTAGGTGCGCGTGGCAAATATGACGTCATCGCGGTGTTGGCGGAAGTTCGCTTTGAGTGCGCGCGACGTCGTTTCGCGAGGTGGTGTGCACTAAATTTTTTTGTAACTTTCCGCGCAGCTCCGCTTCCGAAGATGCACGAGCTCAAAGCGACTCTAGCCGAACATGCACGTCTGTGCCAGCATTTGTGTGAAACAGAAGCAGTTTGATGTTAAGTGCAGTCACACACACAAATCACGTTGCGGCTGCACTCAGACATTCAGGAACAAACTTAGCAGAAATAAGCCTTTTTAATGAAATTAAAGTCCATGCTTAATACAATTTCTGTGAAAATGCTCAATTGCACAAAGGGTTTGCTGTGTTTTTATCAGTTGACGGATACATTTGGCCTTGAAAAGATCATATACATAAATGATAAACTGAAGCAGGAGGCCTTGTGATAATCTGTCCATTTGCTTATTCAATAATTTCTGAGAGTCTTTGATCTAAAGTCAGTGAATATGCATAACAAGAAGAGCATATGTGTATTTTACCAATAAACTGTGAAGAAGGAGGAGATGTGAATCAAACCACTGCGTGTATTAAATGTGATCTATTCAGTGATCAATGTCTCCATCAGCTGGTGTTTATCTTTGGACTGAAGAAGCTTATATTTGCAAACACATTTATTTAATATTAAATGTGATCTATTCAGAGATTAATGTCTACATCAGCTGGTGTTTATCTTTGGACTGAAGAAGCTTATGGAGGATGACGGCAGGATCTTCACTGATTCCTGAACACAACACCTTCCAGACGCAGGTATAGATGTAGGAGTATGGCATCTGCACAGGTGAGCTTGTTCTGCAGGAGAATGTCCTTCAGTTTCTCTCCTGAACGCTGAGTTTCTCATAAGATCTCCAGTGTGGAGCAGCATCTCTCTCACATGATGGACGCTCTGCTGCAGTGCTCAGACCTGATGATGAAGGATGAAGCTTTAGGGTTAGGGTTAGGACTGTGAACTGCTCTTTTTGACTGAACGAGGGAAGTGCTAGAGGTGGTGACATCATCGGCTATTAACGGAAGTTTATCGAAAACTTAATTTACTGTAGATTTAGTCGACTAAAATCTTATGATATTTCGTCAACTAAAACTAGACTAAAACAAAAAAGCAATTCAGGTGACTAAAATATGACTAAAACTAAATCAAATTTTGCTGTCAAAATTAACACTGGTGACACCATCAGCTATAAACCGAAGATTATCGAAAAAAATGCCAAATACTGTACACAACGACAAAACATCTATAAAATAAAATAAAAACGAAATCAATAAATAATTTAATTAATGAATAACTAACAAAAAAGATCATCTTTATTCCG